CATAAAATAGTAGATCGGAAATTCTCGGTGATCTACCATGGTGGAAATAGCAAATTACCATGGTGGAAATAGGCATTTCCTTTATTTAAAGTATTCAATTTATAAATAGCACTTATAGTGTTAGTACTATAGATATACACACCTCTATAATAAATTACCAAATTTTGGCGTAGCAGTGATGATCATTTTCAAAGATAAGTATTTTCAAAAAAGCCTTTTGTTTCTCTTTTTGGCCAAGGCACAATTGTTAACCATATTCATAAAAACCAGATTTTTTTCTAGATTCTTTTCGTACCAAACATGCGTGGAAACGAATTGACAAATGAGCAAAGAGACCATATAATTAGTGCTTATCTTGCAGGTTCAAATGCCCCAAAAATATCAGCTGTGCTGAGTATTGCCTGCACAACAGTATATGAAACTATAAATCATTATAAAAAAACTGGTTCTCCATATTCTAAAAAATGATCTGGTCATTCAAAAGTTCTTTTATCCCATGACCAACGTTCTTTACAAAGGATTGTTTTAAAGGATAGATTTTCATCTTTTAATAAACTTACAAACAAATTAAACCTCAATTTTAATACAACTTATCATCCTAATACCATTTGTAACTATCTTCATAATTTTGGTTTAAGAGGTCATGTTGCTCGTTTTAAGCCTTTTTTGAAGTATAAAGATCATATTAAATGATTAAAGTGGTGTCAAGCAAAATGTAGTTGGAATGAGAAATGAAAATGTATTGTTTGGTCAGATGAATCGAGATTTGCTTTATTTAGATCTGATGGACGTGTAAAAGTATGGTAAAGAGTAGGGGAAGAATATAATATAAACTGCATTAAACCTACTTTTAAATATGATGATAGATCCATAATGTTTTGGGGATGTTTTAGTTGGGATGGTGTTGGACCGTTAGTAGTAGTTAATGAAAAGATGGATCAAGATATATATGTTAATGTTCTTGCAAATAATTTAATACCATGGATACGCAATAATTCAAATTTAGCATTTCAGCAAGATTTGGCTCCATGTCATACAGCACAATATACAAAATAGTGGATAGAAACATATAGTATTCCAATTTTAGATTAGGTTCCATATAGCCTGGATTTGAACCCAATCGAACATCTATGAGATTATCTTGATTGTCAAGTTCAAAAAAGAAAACCTTTGCCCAGTTCAAAAAATAAATTAATTAAGGCCATACAAGAAGAATGGGCAAAGATACCTTTAGAGGTCTTACGCAATCTAATTTTAAGCATGCCTGACCAAGTCAAAGCTATCTATAAAGCTAAAGGTCGGCATGTTAAATATTAATTTTTTTTTGGTTTAGTAAAAAATAAAGGCTTTATTTTATATAGTATTAGGCTAAAAAAATATTATATTTTTTTTATAAAAATAAAAAATTAAAGTTAAAAGATCAGTGATCTTTCTTATCACATGATCTACGTCCAGTAATTTATTGTAGGGGTGTGTATTTTAGTTAATTTATTTAAAATATTATAACTTTATAATATTTATATAATAAAAATATATAATATATTTTTTTTTTAAAAAAAAAGAACCTCTTGGGTTGGCAAGATTTTATTAAGTAAGTATAAATATTATACAAAATAATAAAAGTATATCAAACTACATATATACTTTTAGTATCTAATTTAAGTAGCCTACTCAAAGGTTTTATACTATTTGCTATATTTGCTATCTAATTACAAAGTTATCATTTAAACTTTTTAATTATAACATACTTGTCTGTCTTATTTAATATAACTTATTATATATATTTAGATTTTGTAATACTACTATATTTACTAACTACTTTAGAACTACTTTATTCTCAAGATAAATTTAACAGAGCAGTATATGTTTTACATATATATTTACCTATATGTTTAGTAACTTCTTTTTAACTTGTATTTGTTGTATTACTTTCATTGGATTTGTATCTCAAGCTACTTTTTAGAATGCTAATATAATCTAATCTATATCTCAAACTACAACTTTTCTCATTAGTTTTCTATTACCTATTTCTTACTTTTGTAAAGTTCATAACAATCCTAGTAATCATATTTGAACTTTTTTTTTGAATTCTTTATTGATCTCTCTTTTACTTCTAGCCAGCAACTTAGAAGAATTAGTTTGTTTAAACTATAGATATCTTATAGTTACTCTCTTTTTAGTACATACTTTCAAAGCACATATTTGTTTTTTTCTGGTTGGTGATTTGGCAGTTTAGCTAGTATATTCTTCTACTTAAGAATCTGGTTATTTGGTTTCTTAATTTTAGTCTTTGGTTTAAAATTTAGCCTTTCTATAATACTGTTAAAAATCACTACTACATCCTAATTCAGAACTTGTTAAACAGGTTTTGGGTAATTTTGATTCTCTAGATTTATTATATTAAAACTTTTATTCAAGGTCTAATTTTTAAAATCATCATTTATAGAATTTGAACTCTAGACTGTCATTTGAAATACAACAACTCCACCACTTTACTAAGTTATTACACTTTCAAAAAAAATAATAATAATAATATTTTTATTATATAAATATTATAAAAGAGAATTTTTATTTGTACATGGGGTGTATATATACAGGTAGTGTAAAAACCAACTGATATCTCAAAATTTTGATTATAAAACTATCTTTTGGCTTTTAACAAAAAAAATTCCTTGAGAATTTTTGGTTAAACTAACTCTTGCTCCAATCCCAAACCCACTCTTACCCTAACTATATGCAAGGATTAATTTTTTGTTTATTAAAGTTGTTTTAATTAACATATTACACAAAATTTATTATTCAATAAATTATACTCATGTATAAATACTATATATAAATTAATAATTATAATTTTTTTTTATTAAAAATAAGATTTTGCTATAATATTTTAAGTAGATTTTAAATAGATTTTAAATATTAATTTAATATATTTTAAGATATTTTTACTATATTTTTATAATATATTTATCATATTTCTATATATATATAAGAGTTGTTATATTCTTTAAACTATAAACAATTCTAGGCAAATTTGTTTGGAAAATTGCTATAAATTTGTTTATAATTTATTTTTTTAAAAATTTAAAATATTTAAATAAAAATTTTTTTAATAATATTTGAAAATAAGAGTTATATTATAGTAGTATTTAATTTTATATTATAAGAATAAAGGTTTGAGTTGCTTATAAGCTAAAAACAAATAAATT